CACAGGGCCCAGAAGCTCCAAACCAACCATCACCCACAGCTCCTCCTTGTCCTTCATCCCCCTTCTGCCCTGTGGCAATCACAACTCAGACCCTCACCCACCGCCCAGTACAGCCAGGCCAGGGACCCCAAGGGCGGGGGGGACCCTGGAGTGGGCTTGGGGGCTGAGCAGCTGGGCCCCCCTGCTCAGAACTGCCTCAGCCGGGCACCGACTGCACTTAGAGGGAATCAAATATTAACGAGGGGCCACTTAACAGCCGCAGGGCCAGGAGAGAGGGAGCCCCTGCAGTGCCAGAGCAAACCAGTGGCATCTCCGGGAAAGGGATCATGCAGGGGCGGGGGGAGTCCCCTCTCACCCTCTCCCCCCATCATGGGCAGCACTCGGGTTTGGGGTTCTGGACCTGGCAAAACCTTTCCAGAGAGATCCCATGGGAGCAAGGGTTTTGCAAGGGGTGCTGGGGTAAAATCCCAGTGGAGAGGAGCTGTACCTGAAATGTGCTGCTGGAGCTGTGAGATGCTGGCAGGAGCAAGGGAGGGGGGGCTGGTGCAGGCACTAATGGGGTTCCTGGCACCGCCTGAGGCCGAGGGTTGATGTTCTGCTGCAGCTGCACCATGGCTGCCCTGCCTCCGCTGGGCACTGCTTCCTGCCCTGGCCACATCCGAGGGAAAGGCAAGAGGCTGTTGGGGAGCAGGAGGCTGCTCCTTATCTGCTCCTGCCCCAGCCCATTCCTTCCCCAGGCTTCCTCAGGCAGGACTGGGCACGGGGCTTGCAGGATCAGGCCAGGGTGTGGAGCTGGGAGGGGAGTTTGCTGAGCAGTGGGGCACAGACACCTGCAGAGAGACCCCCAAACCAGGCAGCAGTGACTCCCATGTGCACCCTCAGCCTGGGCTCTGCTGCTGGACTTGGTGCTTGGCCTCAGGGCAGCCCTGCAGAAGGTGCTGCAGGACATTTGCATTTTTCCCTTGTGTGGCCAGTCCCTCCTCTCTGTTTGGACCTCTCCAGGACCAGGACTTTCCCTTTAGGATCCCTTCTGCCTCCACAGTCCCTGGTGCAGGTGGCCCCATGGTTGCGAGGGATGGACACGGTCTCACTGCCACCCACCCTCCAGGCTGGGGCTCTGGGGGCAGAAGATCAGCTCCAGGTCATCAGCTGGGACAGGAAAGGCCATGGTCACACCACGGGAATGGGGACCTGGCAGGGCCCCAGTGTCCCTCCTTGGACCCACAGTCATCACAGGGACTGCTGTGGGAGCTGCCCTGGCCTGGCCTGGAGCAGGGACATCCCCGGGACACTCAGGACAGAGGACATTCCTGGGAAGCAGTGACACACAGGGTGGTTCCTGCCAGGCACGGTGTCTGTCCTCGCCTGTCCCTGCTGTGGCCCGGGGCAGAGGTCCCAAACCTCCGGGCTGGCTTGGAGACAACTGGCACCATCCCCATCCCACCCTCCAGGGCCCCGGAGCCGGGCAGGGGTGGCTGGGGGTTCACCCTGGGTGCCCTTGGGTGCAGGAGCCGGGGCTCAGCAGCCTGGGGGGGCCGGTGCCAGGGCCCCCGCCCCGCGGCTGCCCCCGCCCGCAGCATCGCGGCAGCTCGAGGGTGTCAAGGCCGCTGGGCTGCCCACCCCGGCCGCCCGAAATAGCCCTTTCCTTTCCCGGCCCTTTCCCGGTCCTTTCCTGACTCTTTCTCGGCTCTTCCCCGACATGAGGTCGGGCGGGGGCGGCCGTGGGGGACCCGTCGCGACAGGGGAGCCTCCAAAGCAAATCCTGGTGCCGAGGGGAAGCCCGGGACGTCCCCGCCGCGGACCCCCGGCCCCGGGGACAGACAGACAGCGGGGGACACCACGTCTCCGTTCCCCCCGTTGGGTCTCCACTTCCCTTTCCCCGAAACGCACCCGATCCTCGGGTCTGTGTGTGAACTGGGCGGATGACTCGAACGCGAGTGTCCGGAGAGTCCCGAGAGAGCCGAAAGCCCCGCACAGCCCCACGGGCCCCGCACAGCCCCTTCGTCCGTCCGTCCAAGCCCTGCGGTCTGTCCACCCCTCCTGGTCTCTGTCCATCCATCCCAGTCTCTCTGTCCGTCCATCCCAGACTTCTGGGCTCTTTGTTCTCCTCAGCCTCCCCACCCCCGCATCCCTCGCCCCTCTCCAGCGCTCCCCTCCCCGCGCAGACCCGGGCCCTACCTCGCTGTCGGCGGGATCCACCCGGCTCGGCTCAGCTCGACTCGGCTCAGCTCCACTCAGCTCAGCCCCGCGGGGGGGCGGGGGAAGGGCCGGGCTCGCCGCTCCCCCCGGAACCGGCCCCGTCCCTCTCCGCCCCCTCCTCGCTCAGGACGGGGCTCCCTCCGGGCGGGGGTCGCGCCCCGGCCCCATCGCCCCCGCGGCTTCCCCTGGCGCAGCCCCCCCGTGACGGTGCCCAAAGACCCCCGGGCGGCGGCCGCAGCACCCGCGGCTGGTCCGAGCCGGGGCGGACCCGCCCCGTTACTCACTTGTTTACCCGAGTGGGTCCCTGTCCGGGCGGGGGGGGGATCCGGCCGTGCCGTCCCACAGAGAGGAGGGTCCCCACCGAGCCCCGCAGAGCGGCCCCGGGACCCGGGAAGGGGGAGTCGGATGGCCGGAGTCCCCGCAGCGTCCCTGGGTGCCCCCGCAGCCCCGGGGAGGGTTCGCACCCCGGAGGTTTTCCCAGCTCGAGGTGTCGCTGCGCTGTCCAAAGTCGCGGCCAGCCGCAGTGGCACGTCCCCAGGCACTGTCCCCTCCCGCGGTCCCAGGACGCGACAGCCTCCGCTGCTGCTCCTCGTGCTCCGCCGGGAGGGCAGAGCCCGGCTCCGGCCCCGGCGGCTCCATCAGCTCCGGAGCGCTGGGAGCGCCCGAGCCCGCGGGGGACGCGGGGACATCCCGAGCGCGCAGCATCCCGCCAAGGCCAGCGAGGCCGGGGCGGTGGTGGCCGGGCAGGAGATTTTCCTGCCGCTGGCTCGGCACTGCGGGGCTGCAGACCCCCATCATCCCTCCGTACCTTGGCTTGGAGCAAGGACTGGCACTGCGAAAGCCCGGGCAGAGGGCAGGGCCAGCCCGCAGAACTGGGTCGCGGCGAGGATCGAGTGCTGGGGGCAGGAAGGAAACCCGCAGGGTTCAGCAGCCGCTGCCGTACCCGGGCCGGGCCAGGGTGTGTCGGGGTGTGCCTGGGAGCAGCTGCGCTCACAGGGATGTGGGCACGGGGGGGCGGCTCCACCAACTGCCACCCCTGGGGCATGAGCCCGGCTGAGCTGCTGTACCCCCCAAACCCAACTCAGGGCTGTGCCAAACCACAACAGCTCCCCACGAAATGGAGGGGAGGTGCAGACACGAGCACTGAGAGCTGTCAGGGCAGGGAAAAGCCATCAGAGGGGCTTCAGCCGGATCCAGCCCCTGATCCAGCGTGTGCCCGGCAGCCACAGCAGCTCCAGGGGCTCCTGTGCCCAGTCAGTGGCTCCATCCAGGGCCTGGAGTCAAAGGCACAGGGAAACGCAGTGCCTGGGAGAGAACGTGGACCATGTTCAGGCTGGGGACACAGTGGGATGTTCTGGGGGGAAGTTCCCCTACCCCAGTGTGTGTGTATGCCCAGGAGGGACGAGGGCTGTGGGCAGGGTGGCTCTGCCAGGCAGCTGAGCAGAGAGGGCACCCAACCACCAACCAAACGTTGGGGTTTGGCTTTTCTTTTCCCATTTCCTCCAAGGCCATCCCTGGCTGGGCCTTCACTCGCTTCCTGTGCTGAGCCCTGGAACACCCCTGTGCAGGCAGTGGCTGGAAATAACTCACAGGAAGGAGAGGGCAGGGGATGCGTCCGGTGCAGCTGCCGGCCCCGGGGACATCCCACAGGATGGGGAGGGGGCACCCACGTGCAGGGCCAAAGCAGTTGGGGTGCCCCCCACCCCCAGGCTGAGCCCCACACGCGTGGGCAGCCAGGGCAGGCGTGGGAGCCTCCTGAGCACCAGCTCCCACGGTGTCTGCAGGGCTGGATCCTGCCAGCAGAGAGCAGGACAGGGTGACCCTCCTGAGCCGTGGGGCAGCCACTAAGGTCTGGAGGCCCCTACACAGCAGGGTTGGCTCTGCCCCAGTGCTGGGGGATTGGGGCAGCCCCCCAAGTCCCTGTGCCATGGGGCTGTACTGGGGGCAGTGGATGCAGGGAGGAAACAGCCTCGCTGTGACAGTTCACTGCCAGGATGGTGGTTTCCTGTGTCCCTGGGCATTACTCACACACCAACACTGTTTGGGTGATCCTGGGGATGGGGCCATCCCAGACACTCGTGGCTGTGCCCCATGGCCAGCACCTGGAGGGACCAACACCAGTGACTCCCAGCTCAGCCCTGAAACACTCCTCAAGATGCCCAAAACCTGGCTGAGCATCACTTGGGGCCCTCAGGGACCCCCAGCTCAGCGATGGGGGTCTGGGGAGCGCAGCTGCCTCTTGCCTAGGGCAGCGAGAGCCTCACAGGCACGATGTGGGAGGGACTGCAGGCCATGGAATCCGGATTTTCCCCTGTAAGGAGATATCCCAGCCAGCACCCTCTCCTCCGCCCTGCTGGAGCAGGCGCCTGGCAGCCACTGAAGCTTCCCATGCCACAGCCAGGGCTGAGGGATGTGGCGGCATTCCCAGGCTGGGGAAGTCAAATCCCAGGGGAGGACGTGCCAGGGATGAGGCCGGGGGGAGGGCCCCAGGAGGTCTGTGGAGCAGGACACGGGGCAGTGCTGTGCTGGTGAAGCCAAGGGCCCTGCAGCTCCAGCTGGGGACCATCAGCTGGACTGGTCTGACACTGGTAAGGGGAGGTGTGGGGCTGGGAAGGGGCTGGAGCGGGCAAGGGGAGCACACAGGGCTGACAGCATGTGGGGAGGGAGCAACAGACCCCAGCGACACAGGGCTGAGGACCCCCCCACCTCAAACACTACCCAGCCCCTAGGAGAGCTCCCAGTGCCGGCCCAGTATGGTACTGGCTGGTGCTGCCATGCAGAAGCAGTGGTGATACCCATGCTCAGGATCCCACAGCTAAAACAACCCCTATTTTATTTATAACAAAGTCTCAGGGTCCCTCAGCATAAAGGCAAGGACAGGGAAAAGCTGCAGGAATATGCCCTGTGCTGGGCCAGGCCCTGGGGACATCCAGGGGACAGTGTCTGTGCCAGGGGACGAGACCCCTGGCAGGAGTCCGGGGGGTGCTCAGCAGCCCCTCACCGGCGGTAACGGTAACGCTTGAAGTGGAACCAGAGCTGGAAGATGCCGTTGGCAAACTGGCAGCGGAAGCCGTGGCGGTGGGAATACTCCCACTCCCGGTTGACGATCTTGAAGGCGATGTCCTCGTAGGGCGGCCCCGCGTGGAAGCGCAGGATGGCGAAGTCCTTGTTGTCCTGGCAGGCCTCCAGGAAGTACTCGGGCGTCGAGCGCTTGTCGATGAGGTCGGGGTAGAAGATGTTGAACTTGTAGCCCTGCACGATCTTGGGGGGCGGGTTGTCGAAGTCGTAGTGGGTCTGGTTGTACTTGTTCCACTCGAAGCCCGTGTGGACACGGTTGAAGAAGCGGGGCTTGCGCGGCCGGTACTTGTCAGCCCAGAGATAGGCCTTGCCCGTGAGCGGCATCTCCACGCTGAACTGAGCCTCGTCCGCGCCCATGCCCTCCTTGGCCTTGCGGAAGAAGATGTCGTCGGTGCTCTCCGAGGCATCACCTGTGGGGGAGGACAGGTGAAGGTGGGATCCTGCAGTGCTGTGGGACACTGGGCACACGGCAGGAGGGAGCAGCAGGTGCTGGGCAAGGGATGCAGAGCTGGAAACGGGGATGCACTGGGGATTCCCAGAGGGTACCGGACTGAGTTGTGCTGGAAAACTCATCCAAAACACTCCTCCCACCCGTCTGCACCCAAATGCCCTGGAGGCACTGAGGCAGGTCCCCACAGGGAACACCAGCAGCCTGAGCCCCATCCCCTTGTTCCTGCCCAGCCCACAGCACTCTTTGCTCTGGGGGGAACCCCTCCACCAGGCCAGCTCTGGGTGCCATCTCCAGATCCAGCTCACCCTTTCCTGAGGGCAGTGTCCCCTGCAGCCCTGCAGCCCAAAGCCCTGCACACCCTCCACACCGGGCAGGTTTCCCTGGGGCTCACCTGTCACCTGGAGCTGCTGGCGCAGGAGCAGCAGCCGGTGCGTGTCCTCCTCGGCCTCCAGCACGTGGGCGTCGAAGGGCAGCTCGTTGGGGCCCAGCAGGCGGGGGCTGTACTTGCCCGCATCGTAATCGTCCAGGCTCTGCTGGATCAGATCCTCCTCCATCAGCACGGCCTCCCCTTCCGCCTCGCCCTTGGCCTCCGTGTCCTGCTCCGCCTCCGGCTCCGAGGACGGCCCTGGCTGTGCCTCGAGGCTCTCCTCGGGATCCAGCCTGCACGGAAGGGAGAAGAGAGAACTGGGACGGGGATGGTACCCTCGCTCTCAGCTCACCTGAGCCCTGCCTGGGGAAGGGTGGGAGCACAAGGCTGCCTTTCTATGCAGGGTGTCCCACAGGACAGGCCTGGAGGGCTGTGCTCCAAGGAAAGGGCTGCTCACCTGTCGCTGGGGGAGGCTGGCTCCCTCTTGATGATGGGGAAGAGCGGTTCACTCTCCACACCCTGCTCCTGCTTCAGCTTGTAGAGCTTCTGCCGCAGCACGTCCTGGTGCCGCTCCCGCAACCTGTGAGAGGAGAGGAGCCATCGGGTCCCACCCAGCAGAACCCCCTCATGCCCACAGCCCAGAGCTGTGACACTCATCACAGCAGGCAGAAACCTGCTGGGCTTGGATGCTTTTGGGCTGAATAGCCCCCAGTTCGGTTCCCTCTTGGAGACCTCACTGTGAACATCATCACCAGAGAAGGTGTCCAGCCCTGCTCCCCTCCTGGGAACCAGCTTATCTTAGAAAAGGTATAAACCCCCACCAACAACTGGGTTTGTACCTGCCCAGCTCTGCCTGTGGTGGGGTCTGTGCCGCCCCCAGCCCCTGCCCTCACCTGGCCCGAGCCATGTAAGCCTTCAGCTGCTGCAGGAGGCTCTCCCAGTAGCCGATGTCCAGGTTGGGCCCTCCTGCTCGGATCTTGCTCTCGATGCCCTGGTACAGTGCCTGCAGCTGGTTGTATGTCTTGCCCTTGAACACCGACTGCACATCCGAGCTCACCGAGGCGTTGACGCCGTCCCGGCGCTCCCCTGGACAGGTGAGGGCAGCTGGTCAGTCTGTGGCCACTCACTGACCCTCATCCTGGCCCTCCCGACAGCAGGATGCTGGATCCCAGCCAGGGACAGCTGCCAGACCCACAGCCTTCCCTCCAGCAGGTCCCAGAGAGCCCCTCTGAGCCCAAGCACGTGCCACAGACCCTACACCCTGTGTCACCCCCACTCACACTGCCCCTGACACCCACACTGCTCACCTGGGCCCCCTTTTCCAGAGGCCTCCAGCTTGCGGAGCTTCGCTATCTCATCCTCCGTGATGATGGTCATGTCCCTCCAGAAGTCCACGTTCTTCCCTTGCTCCAGCTCCATGTAAACCTGCAGGCAGGAGACAAGCCAGACATCAGGCACCTGCCCCAACATCTGGGCAGGGAGGCAGAGCTGGGGAGGAAGCCCTGGCAGAGGAGCAGCAGGGCTGGCACCTGGATGTCCTCCACCAGGTCCTCCATGTCGGACACGGTGAGGCCGTTCAGGAAGGTGTAGGGCTCGTGCATCTCCACGGCCAGGTCGTCGTCCTCGGCACTGATGTACTTGGCCAGAAGGTCGATGGGTTTCGCCCTCCCATCCCGAATCCGGATCTTAGACCTGGGAGAGGGGAGAGGGACAGAGTGAGTGACACTGAGCAGTGCCACCCTCTGCTCCCTGCCAGGCCCGGCCCCGAGCAGCCGCACACCTACCGCAGCTTGGCCTGCTGCAGGTGGAAGTTGTCCTCCTGCTCCTCCCAGGTTTTGAAGTGCTCTGCCTCCTTCTCCCGCTGCAGCATCTCCAGCTCCTGCTCCCGCATGGCCTTTTCCCGCTCCCGCTCCAGGCGCAGCTGCTTCACCTGCCCGGGGAGAGGGGGCTGTGAGGCCGCTGTGGATGGGGCACCACACGGGCACCTCTGAGGGCACGGCCTGTCCCGGGGCTGCCTCAGCTCCTGGAGAGCCCAGAGCCAGCGGGGCCAGGCTGCCTGGGGCTCACTGCCAGCCCTGTGAGGGACCACAGAGTGCCCCAGTGAAGTGACTGGCACTGTCCTTCTCAGCACCTCCTGAGCTGGGCTCATCCCCAAGGCAAGAGATTTCTCAGGCTGGAACAGCCTGGGTGCTGTGCACCCCCCTCCAAATCCTACAGCCTGTGGACACCCCCAGGGAAGAGAACAAAGGGGCTTCCTGGTGAGTAATGAGGAGAACTGGGTTGTCCCCAGGGCTGTCCACCAGAGGGATGGAGGGACATCCTACCCCACCTTCTGCAGCTCCAGACGATTGTCCTCCTGGATTCGCTTGTTCCTCTCCTTCAGGTCCTTCTCATCCAGGTGGCTGATCCCTTTCTTTTCCAGTGCCTGAAACAGAGTGGCCAAGGGAAGCTGTGAAACCCAAGGACCTCCACAGCCCCTCACTGGCCAGCAAATGCCACGGCATCCACCTGCTTCTGCTGCTCCTGTGAGCTCTGATCCTATCAAAGGTCCCCAAATCCCTCAAATCCTGTTCCTGAAGCCCCTCAGCAAACCCAGGCTCAGCCCAGGAGCCCACCCAGTCTGGCAAGGGGAGTGCCAGCACAGCTGTATCATAGAATCATGGATGGTTTGGGTTGGAAGGGACCTTAAAGTTCATCTTGTTCCACCCCCTGCCATGGGCAGGGACACCTTCCGCTATCTCAGGTTGTTCCAAGCCCCGTCCAACCTGGCCTTGGACACTTCCAGAGACAGGGCAGCCACAGCTGCGCTGGGAAATCTGTGCCAGGGTCTCACCACCCTCACAGGGTGAGGTGGTGAGACCCCACCTAACTCTGCCCTCTGGCACTGGGAAGCCATTCCCTCTTGTCCTATTCCTCCAGGCCCTTGTCCAAAGTCCCTCTCCAGGTCTCCTGGAGCCCCTTTAGGCACTGGAAGGGGCTCCAAGGTCTTCCCAGAGCCTTCCCTTCTCCAGGCTGAACACCCCCAAGTCTCAGTCATTTCTCACAGAAGAAGTGCTCCATCCCTGTTACCATCTCCGTGTCCCTGCTCCAGTAAATGCCCAGCACTCAGCTTGCAGCTCCTACTCCTACTCCTGCCCCACCTCCTCAGCCCAACCCCTTGGCTACAGATCCCACCTCAGCCACAGTTCCCCCCGACCCCCCACTCCCTCTGCCCTGTTCCACTCAGTGACAGGGACAGGGCAGAGCTCACCTTGCTCCAGATGAAGGTGCCCAGCAGGTTGTTGTCCCCGAAGGGGTTGTCGGTGTTGGTGTATCCCATGTACTCCTCCCCCCAGCCCATCTTCTCCCGCTTCTTCCTCTCCTTGGCCTCCTTCTTGGCCAACCTCCTCGCCCGCTTCTCCTCGGGCGTCTCCAGCGCCTTCAGCAGCGCCGCCTGTTTCTTCTTCTCCTCCCGGAGCCGCAGCCGCTCCTGCAGGCTCAGGGTCTGTCCCGGCTCCTCGCGGCCGTGGGGCCGGGCCGGGGACGGGGAGCTGACGGAGGACACGGAGGACTTGGATCCATCCCTCCTCCTGCGGCGCTCCCGGCTCCGCTCTCGGCTCCGCTCCCGTCCTCGGCGGCGCTCGGGGCTGGAGCTGGACGAACGGCCCCGGGACCGCGAGCGCTGCTTCCTCCGCTCCTTATGAGGCCGGTCCCGGTCCCGGTCCCGGTCCCGGTCCCGGTCCCGGTCCCGGCTGCTGCTGCTTTTCTTCTTCTTCTTCTTCCATTTCTGCCTCTCGCCGCTGGAGTCGGAGCTGCAGCGGCACAGCCGGGTGTCAGGGGAAGGAGGGCACAGCGAGGCCTGGCACGGGGCAGCGGCAGCGCCGGCACAGCGCGCGGTACCGGACCCGCCCCGGGCCGACGTCACGGGCGGCGCTGGGGACCCACCGGCCCCGGTCCCGCTGCCCGGCCCTGCCCGAGCCCGGCGGCAGCGAGGCCGCTTCGGGCCTCCCGGGCCCCGGCTCCCCCGGCACACCGAGCCCCGGCTCCCCCCGCTCCCGGTCCCGGTCTCGCTCCCCTCCAGACGCGGCGCGGCCGCTCCGGGCCCGGTCCCCGCTCACCCTGAGCTCGGCTCCCGGCGGCGCCCCCGGCTCCGGCTGCGGCTCCTGCTCCGGCTGCGGCGACGCCTCCCGCGGCTCCCGGAGCGCTCCCGATCCCTGTCCCGATCCCGTTCCCTGTCCCGATCCCGTTCCCGGTCCCGATCCCGGTCCCGGTCCCGCTCCCGGCCGGGGCTGCGCGTCCCGGAGCCCATCGGCGGCGGCGGCGGCTCCGCCCCAGGGCCTCGCGGGGCCTCACTGCGCGGGGCTGCCCCAAGCGCGCCTGCGCCCGCCCCGCCCGCCCGCGGCCCCGGCGCGGACAGGCGGGCGTAGGGGCAGCCCCGCGCGGGGGGGGCGGGGCCTGTCCCGCCTGCCCCAATTCCGGCCGCTTTTGCCCCAAAGCAGGAGGCGGAGAGCGCGGCACGGACCGCAGGGCGCTTTATCACACCGGGGTACACGTGTCTGGAGAAACGGCTCCGCAGAGAGGGAGGGGAAACACCCTCAAAACAACCGAGAGAAGAAAAAGCGCGGCCAGGCCTTGAGTCCCCGGAGCGGAGACGGGACAGCGCTCCCGACACCGGCACCGCCGCCAGACACCCGTCACACGGACACGTGTGGGGACAGGGACATCCCGTGCGACATCCAGTGGGACAGGGAGGGACAGCCACCGGGACAGCCATGGATGGAACAGGGACATCCCATGGGACATCCCCAGGGAAACACGTGGGAACAGGGAGTCACGGGACACACGTGGGGACAGGGACAGAAAGAAAACTCAGACGTGACCCAGAACGCCTCCGCCCTGGCTTTGTCCTCCTCCGTCCAGGAGGCGCTGGAGCAGCGGCTGGGAACGAGAAGGGGAACGCGGGGCTGTGGCTGACGCGGGGCCGGGGGGCCGGAGCCCTGCAAACACCCCAGCCTGCCCTGGGCTCTGCCTTCACTTAACACCCCCAAGGGCAGTTCCACTGATGCAGCCGAGGAGGGGCAGCGGCAGCCCAGGGTGGGGCCCCTCTACGGGTGTTCAGGGTCTCTGTACCAGCTCCTGGCTCTGCCCCAGAGCCTTCACCAGGAGCCTGACGGCAAACCCAGAGACACGGGTGCCCATTTTCTCCTGCCAGCCCCGAACCTGGCAGGGAGAAATCATCTGCAGCCTCAGCCCCAGGCAAAGGTCAGGGCGTGTCCCACAGAGCCCGATGGGGATGGAGGAGAGCGGTGGCACAGAGGCCACAGCCCTGCGTGGGAAGGGACTGCTCTGTGGGGCTCACATCTCGGGGTACAAGACCTCGGTGCCTCCTTTAATGAAGGAGAGCAAGGACAGCACCTGCAGGTCACCAGAGAGAGCCTCGACACAGAACAGGCAACTCAAGTGCAGGACAAGCCAAAGTGCAGCTGGAGGAACGTTAAGACCAAGGATGAGTGTGGATTCTCTTCCCCAAAAAGGACTGATGCTCTTCCCTGTGGGCCTGTTCCTGCCCAGGCAGCACTGACAGTGCCTGTGATGTGCCCCAGAGCTCCTGTTGCTCCTGCAGCAGTGAGAGGGGCTGAGACCAAGCTTTAAAATACAAGGTCCTTCCAGTCTCCAGGGAAAGCAGAGGCCGAGCAGTTCCCCAGCACTGACCTGCTGGACAGGTGACACAGAGCAGGGGCTGTGCCAGCCTGGACAGGGGCAGTTTGTGTTTCAGATCAGCATCTCCCTAAAGGAAGGTTCCTCCTCGTCCCCCCACAGTGACAAAGCTGCTCTAAGCCTTTGCCTGCCCTCTCACAAGACCAACCCTCCCTGTCCAGACCTGCTCGCTCCAAAGGGAGCATTATGGAACTGTACAGGGATTGTTTTAAAAAGGAAAGACAATGCTTGGAATGAATGTGCTGCAGGAGCTCTGGGTTCACCCCCTCTCCTGGGACAGAGCACAGCTCCAGCTCACAAAGCTCATTCTCTGGGACACTCAAGGAAGTTGGGGCTGGGACACTCCCGGCACAGAGACCAAGCAGCTTTGGAGAGCCCCAAAATGAGGGGAAGGAGTAAAACCCCCATCAATGATGCTCACACCATCTGCACAAAGATGCTTGATTTCAGCTGGCTGGAAAGTCCTGACGAGGCCACACCCTCTGGCCCCTGACTGAGGTGATCCCAGGGGGGCCTGGGTCAGACATCCTGAGCCCCCCCTGACTCCCCCCCGAGCCCCGCCCCCCTGACACCCCTGAGCCCCCCCTGACTCCCCCCCGAGCCCCGACCTCCAGCACAGCATCCACCAGCAGCAGCAGCTCCCTCTGGCCACTCTGCACATGCTGCTGGAGTAAAAGGAGATTAAATTTTTAGCTTTTTGAAGCCTCTTGCCTTGAGCCCAAAGGCAGGTGAGGCTGCAGGTATTGAACTGCTCCCACATCCCCTCCACCAACCCCTGAGCCCCCCCCAAAGCCTGCAGAGCCCCCCAGGTGGGATGGGGCAGGAGCTGCAGTTGTGAGAACGAGCTGTCAAGCAGCAACTGAAAGGGGAAAGTTTCTTGAGAGACTTTTGATAGACTATTTGGTAAATACATGGATACATGGAACAGCAGCAGCTTGCACGATCCCCCAGCTGTGCTCCCGAGAAGCACAACCCACAGCCTTCCACTTCCGCAGGCAGGGCAGGGAAGTCCAGGTCCCGTATTCCAGGCAAGAAAACATCAGTTCCTGAAGATCCTCACCAAGTCCAGCACAGTGCAGAGGGAAGAGCTTCCCACCAGCCCAGCTACCTTCTGGGACCCACTTAACCCCTCCCGAGTGCTGCTGTGAATACAGATTGGGGGACCGAGAGCAGGGTCCCAATTCCCCACCCCTCTACAAGGAATCCCAAGGACAGTGAAGATTGTAATGGGAATAAAGAGATTTTGACCCTCTTTCTCAAGCGAGGTTCATAAAGCACATGAACAAGACCTGGCTCCCTCTGGCCTAAAGGACTTCCTGTCTTCTCTCTGGGAGATGAGGATGGGATTGCTGGATTCCAGACAACACTGTGGTGTGTGTCCTGCTGATGGATGAGCCTGAACACCACCCCGTGACACCAAACCCTCTCACCTACAGCCCCCGCAAAGCAAACCCTCTCAGACACCCGCAGCAGTGATTTCCACCAGCAGACGTGACCCCAGGCAACACCCCAGTCACACAGCTTTCTGTCCAACAGAGTCCACGAGCACAGCAGCGCCGGCACAGTTCCGTGGCAGAGCCAGGCTCCCGCTTCTGCCTCCAGCGTGTGGATGTGCCCGCGCTCCCTGCCTGCCCCGAGGAGCGGAGGGGACGGGTGACCCCGGGATACACGCACGAACACGTGGGGGGCTGAGTGGCTCCAGGAGGATCAGGGTCCAGACGAGCCCCACGTGGGCCTGGCAGGGCAGGGAACTCACTCTCCAGCATGGCCAGGCCCGGGAGGTGCCCAGTTCCCGTCTGTCCGTGCCCGCGGGTCCGGAGCAGGCAGAGCCGGTCGGATGAAGCGTGGACTCCAAGCACAGAGGGAGGGGTGATGCAGCAGTGCAGCACAGGGGGAAGGCAGAGCCCACCACGACGTCCAGGGAGAGCTGAGTCCACGTCACTGCCGACAGGACCGTGCGCTGCCCCCGCACAGTGTCACAGACGGGAGAAGTCACTAGAGAGTTTGGATCCAAGTGAGTTGGCATGGCTACTTTGGACTGTGGTAACGTGGGAGTAATTCTATTCCATGGCCTTGAATACATTGCATTTTCATAGCACCTTTCATCCCAGGGTTTAAGTGCTGTAACGACGTGGGTACTGTCCACCCATCAGCACAGGGGAAACCGAGGCACAGAGTGGTTTAAGTGACTCGCCTTGGGTCACTCAGCAAAACCGTGGCAGAGTCTGGACAGCCTTAAACCTCCTGACTCCCTCAGTTGGTCAGACCACGCTGCTGCCTCAAATGAAGCCACTCCTGTCCCTGCCCTCCCCAGCAACGTGCTCCTACCCCTTCTCCGGTGAGGTCTCGCGCTCCTTTCTGATGCACAAATATATGGAGAAAAAAAAAAAAAAGTGCAGTAAACTAAATGTTTAAAAAAGCACATTTGTGCTGTCTCTGTGCAAAGATAAAAGAAATAAATACATGATTAAAAAATTAAAAAGGTTCACAGTATCACACATGGATAGGTAGCTACGGTAGTGCACGTCTGGAAAACACTGTGTTACTACCCAGGATTCTCTACGCCCAGCTGGAATTCTCTGCCGGGAGCTGCGGGTGAGCGGGTGGTTTCTTTGCTGCCCACGTCTGGGGTGAGTAGAAATACACGGTTATAGTTTTGCTCCGTCCTGAAACGCAGTGCCCGGGGTCCTGCAGTGCAGCAGTACTGGTGCCAGCAAGCTCTTCCCCATCCCACTGGAACGGCTGCATCAACGAAAAGGGAACACATCGACCTGCAGAGGGAATCGCTGCTCTCTGGGACTTCTGTGTCTGCATAGAGATTACTGCAAGAGGCAGAGAGAGGAGAGTCACAGAACCATGGAATTGTTACGGTGGAAAAAGACTTCCAAGGTCATCAAGTCCAATTGTTAACCCAGCACCACAACGATGTTCACCATGTCACCAGGTGCCACATCCACATACTGAACACTTCAGGGATGGTGACTCCACCACTGCCCTGGGCAGCCAGTGCCAGGGCTTGACAACCCCTTCCATGAAGAAATTTTCTCTAATATCCAACCTAAACCTCCCTTGGTGCAGCTTGAGGCTGTTTCTTCTGGTCCTGTTGCTTGTTCCCTGGGAGCAGAGCCTGACCCCCACCTGGCTCCACCCTCCTGTCAGGGAGTTGGAGAGAGCAAGAAAGTCCCTCCTGAACCTCTTTTTCTCCAGGCTGAGCCCCACCCCACTCCCTCAGCTGCTCCTGGCGCTCCAGACCCTTCCCAGCTCTGTTCCCTTCCTGGACACTCTCCAGCCCCTCCATGTCCTTCTTGTCCTGAGGGGCAAGAGAGTTAACTCCCCCACGTCAGTCAGGTCTGTGCCCCACCAGCTCCCCAGCACAATCAGCACAAGGAGAGAGGCTGTTCCACACCCTCCAGCAACGACAACATGACTGGAAAACCTCAGCTCCCCAAAGCTTTCCCTGCACCAAATGATTGGGAACAAGCCACAGCCCTCGCTGAGCAGGCCAGGGCTCTGCCAGCACCAAGCTGGCCCGAGGGGCAGCCGGGCTCTGCTGCAGCCATGCAGGAGCCCCACGCTGCCAGAGGCCAGGCTGACCTTGCAGAGGGAGCACAAGCTCCGACCTCGACCCACCGGGCACCGGCACAGGGTTGTTGGACACTTACTGTATCGCTCTCCTCATCGGAGACAGAGTGGAGCTGAGCGCTATAGTGGAGCGGGGAGTAAACCCAACTCCTCTCGTCTGTCGGCTGCCAGAGTGGCCAGAGACGGCGGGGAGAATGCAGGGAGAGCAGCAGCAGAGCAGGGAGCAAAGGAGAGAAGAGGAAAAAATAAAAGGAGAAAATAAAAAGAGTAGGAAACAACACAGTAAGAACAGCTGTCCACCTGGAGGGAGAGCACTGAGCTCAGGGCCAGCTCTCGGCAGAGGAGCCTTCCTCACCCTCAGCACATCCTGCTCCCTGCCAGCTGGGACATGGGATCCTGCACCAGCTGCAGTGGGGGTGGCACAACCTCCCCTCTCGCAGGGACAGACTTTTAGAGCTTTTGAGATGCCAGGGAAACCTCAGCTCCCTGCCATGGCATCACCCCGGCTCCAGAGAAACCAAGAGACTCAGAAAGTGACTTACCTAAGGGAGTGACAGAGCTCTGGGTTCCTGCTCTCTCCTCCCAGCTCTCACCCTCCCATTTCCAGAGCCCTGTGCATGCTACAAACTGCTGTCCAGGGAGGCTTTTACAGGGAAACTGGATTTGTTTGCTGTACCTTCCTCCTTCTCTGGAGAAGGCAGTGGAGCAGGGGTGAGACCATGGCAGATGGTGGCCACAGAAAGGAAAGTTATCACTGAGATCTTGGAGATAGTGGAGTGATGGGAACAAGTACAACATAGAATGCAAAACACAACTGGATCCTGGAAAGAATGAGGGGAAGGGGGTGTGCACTGAGGGACAGTTATCACAACACTGGGCATTGGTGTGACAAGACACAC